ATGTACCAAGTTTCATCAAAATCCAATGAGTGGTTCTTTAGATATCAGTGGAACAGTCATAGAACAGCTAAAAATTAGCTAATTATCATGCAAATTAGGTAATTAACGAGCATGGATTTTTACCAAAACCTAATCAAATCTGCGCATTGGCCCAGAGCATCTATGCACCAAGTTTCATCAAAAACCGATGTATGGTTCTTGAGATAGCAGTGGAACAGTTGGACACACATACACAGATACACACACACATACACACATACAGACACACTAACTGCAAAGACTCCCATTTTGTGCTTCGCACATGGGAGTCAAAAACTGCAAATAACCGATGTGCAGCAAATCAAAATAAATTTGTTTTTCCGGATTTTGCGATGACGCACTCCTGAAAGAACTGTTTGAATATTGAACGAGCAACAGTAGTAAAGGCTTGAACACAGTAGCGTAAGTCTTAAGTGCAACTTTGTACCAACAAATGTTCGTCTTTTGATACTTATTAGCTGTCAGAGACACATATCAATTGTCCAGCCCAATGAAAAGTGTGATTCACGTCCTCTGCTCAATTTGCGACTCGAGCATAACAGTTTATCAAAACAAAACAATTTACGCTGTTCACCGATATATGAAAGAGTGTTTTTTAGGCAAGACACACTGTAAAATGACTACTGTACACCAATAAATCGACACATTTTAGAGACAACTATCAAGTCTTCAAAAAGCAATGTAAACTCTGTCAATCCTAAAAATAAACAACAGCTTGAATGAGGTGTGAATAGATCGGTTCGAACCGCAGTTTTTATGCAAATTCGTGCGGTCGTCCTGAACTGCACTGTCTATTGTTTAAACTTCCAAACCGCAAAACTGGGTTTTGTTCGGGCGGTTTAGGGCAGTTTGGGTTTTCGTAGGTTTGACCCGCATGTTTGAATATGAGATCACCCCTTATGTACATAATCATTCCATATTCGGAATTCGCATTTCCTTATATGGTAGGATCAAAATACCCTGTAAAATACCGCAAAATTACGGCACGCTGTAACTTATGGCGTTACGATGACAAATGTACAATAATAATTAATATACTGACTGATATACATTCCTCGTATATTGTATAAATTTTGCCTTCACCAATTATACTGAAATGGCAAAATTAGTTCAAAATCTTAAGTCGGCTGAAAAAGTGATGGAAAACTTACCAAAATTCTTTGAAGATACCCATTCACAACTTTGACACAGAGTTGGTTTGACCTGTAACATATACACAAGTTTAAAACTATTACGAC